CCCCCCCCCCCCACCCCCTCAAAAGGTATCGTAAATAAGTAGACCTTCCTTTTCCAGGAGGGAGAGAGTCTTATAGATATGGAGCTTTTCGGAAAACCGCAGATTTGAGACAATTCGACTCCTTCTTTGAAAAGAATATGAGCGACGAATTCCACTCAAATGCGCGAAACGGAGAATTTATAGACTTTGAGAAGGTCCAATACAACAGGGAAGAAATAACGCAAGGAAAAAAAAAACATTATTTAGGATCTTTCACATCTTGCAGAACACGACCACATCTAACAACTCTTCAGTTTGCCTCGCGAACAGAACATTCAAATTTGGTTAAATACCTTCCTAAGGTTTAAATACCTTCCTAAGATTTTTTTGCGCTGTGTTTTTCCTTTAAGCCTTGGGGTCTGCGTTAGAAACCTCATCCCTTGCATTTTGGCTAATTTACGTGGTAAAACTTAACAGCCCCAGAACATTTTAAATTGCCTTATTACGAGTATTTACCTCATCTGGAGACGTGTTTACAGCTATATTTCGACTGCTCCACTTCGTTGCATCCTGTGTGAAGCCTAAAGCAAGTTTCACTAGTTAAAAATATAAGTTACACGCGGCTATTCCACACAAATTTCGTTGATGTAGTCTTGTGATTTTACTCCTTTGAACATGTAAGAAACAGATTAATTCAAATTTAAGATTTTGGTCTACCGCAATAGTAAATTGCTAACATCAATTTTTCATTCATGCACGTAGGAAATTGGATCAATTTGTATCTAAAATATACGGGTTGTTCGTGTTTTGTCAATGCTTGGAGATGAATGCAACTAATTAATTCACTCAGAGAGAATACATTTTACTTGATTGAAACATGTTAAATTAATCCTTTCGCTGCCTATCACTCCGATTAACTTAATACCATTTTGTTACACATTCTTCGTAGCAAGCTGCTTTTGGAGTGAGCCACACCTTGATTTTTGATATTCTAATATGTTTCATTATTTTAAAACGAATAAATAAGACGCGATGCTGAGAAATGGTGGCCAGGCAAATAGGGGTATTGGTTGTTGTTGTTGTTTGTTTGTTTGTTTTTTTTTGGGGGGGGAGGATGACGTAAGAACTTCCTACTTCCCTACTGCGTTACTCGCCACCTTAGCAATCCTCCTCTCCCTACCCCCCTCTTCTGCCACCTCTCGTGGAGTTCCCGCTCCCTTAAACTGGGTTTCCGTTCCCCTTTCTTTCGAATATGATTCATAGGAAAGGACTTGGGGGTGGGGGAGAGTGGATACATGAAAATTAAACCGGTCCGAGCATCGCACCAGGAAATAAATTAATATGAGTCGCAACGATCACAGTTTGTGTTAATAATTTATTAAAAACAATTGCTCGTCAGTATACAAGTCGATAAGTACTATGGACAAACAAAACCACTCTGCCTGTACTGCGCTTCTTGTTATCCTTTAGATTAGTATAAAAATACTCTGAGCGTGCCTTGCACTTAATGGTTGCACGCCTTGGATTTGATACAAAATACTTGCTCAAATTTTCTTCACACTCTTACGTGACTTGCACGTGCAGATATAGATGGTATAAATACATGCAGATAAATAAAATACATAACACACTCCTGATAAGTAAAATTGGCTATTCCTGTTGGATTTAACAAGTTCTGTTTCCTTCGCGTCTAACTTAAATCAAATGACGGTATTAAAATGCGTTGGGTCTTTTCACGTGATCTACACGTCTGAGATTGGTTCATTATCACGTGACTTAGCCGTATCTATTGCAGAACAGAAACATGATATATACAACATATTACGCTTTCACAAATTCAGCTTTTTTAAAAGAACTGTAATGCCACAAGAGCGCAGTATGCTACCAGTGAAGATCAGAAAAGAACATTTTAAAGAAATCAGTAGAAAATTGGAAGATTTATAACAAAAATATCATTGTCTTGGATATGGAAAAAAATAGTTACAACTAATATTTTCCTTGCTTTAAATTCAGGCCTACCTGCAGACCTGTCCGCTTTTTTGGTTTTTCTTACGACTATAAGTGCTTCATCACACTGCTTCTAACAGTTCTACGTTATCACAGAGACAGTTTAGTACTTTTTTTCTCTGGACACTCTTCTTGTTCGTACACGTTCCATGGCTTTCGCTTTGCTTTTGCTGCAAAACTTGCTGTGTTCCTCCTCATCTTGCTGGCGACAATCTTCCCCACAGTACCCCTGTACGTTACACCTTTGGCACCAGTCATTCGCCACTTTACCGCAGAAACAGAAATACTCGCAACTCTCTGGTGTAATGAAATGAAAGACAGAGTTACTTCAAACCTAACATTACATCAAATCATGTTTATAATTAGCCTACAGCTACTGGTGTTATTAGTATTTAAACTGGACTTTTCCATAGCATAAGCCTTCAATTTCAAATTGATTTGTCGACACTTCAAGTGAGTCCAGTGAGTCTCTACGTAATAAACGTCATAATAAAAAACTGGATCATTGGATAATGCAATTCAAGAGTTTTCATTGGCTTAACCATCAT